TTGTTTTTCAGGCCAGTGAGGGAAGCTGATGAGGTGAGAAGGGTCGTGTCGTCAGCAAACAGAGACGTTCCAGGGAAGACTGCAGGTAAGTCGTTTACGTAAATTATAAATAGTAGGGGACCAAGAATTGATCCTTGAGGAACGCCCGACAATACTGGCTCTGCAGCCGAGGATGTGCCAAGCACAGTTACGTACTGATAACGCCCAGAGAGATAAGATTTCAGCCAGGAGAGTGGCTGTTTGCGTACCCTGAATGCATGCTCGAGCTTTGCCAAAAGTCCTCGATGCCAGACGGTATCAAAAGCCTTGGCCAAGTCAAAGAAGCAAATGCCAGCAAGCGCCCTGTTATCCCTATGCTGGCACACCTGCTGCACGATGCGGGTCAGTTGAAGAGAGGTGGAGTCGCCTTTACGAAACCCAGATTGTGCGGGACTCAGAAACGGCGAAACATGTCTGTATAAGTGGTCATAAAAGATGCGTTCACATACTTTGGACACGCAGGGAAGAAGAGAGATAGGGCGGTAGTTTGCAGGTTCGTGGCGGGAACCTTTCTTGAATACAGGTATGACTTTCGCTGTTTTCCATGCGGAAGGGAATATGCCCGTGGTAAATGACATGTTGAAAATATGGCACAAAGGGAATGCTATGGATGGTGCCAGGGCCTTGAGGACCCGGTTGGGGATGCCGTCAGGACCAGACGCCTTGCACGTCGGAAGCTTCTTCAGATGACGCCGGACAGTGGCAGTTGTGGTGATGACGGACGTGAAACAAGCTGAGGGCTCCGAGGGGGTGAGAATAGGGGGAATAGAGAGCAACGGGTCATCTGGCCGAGTCACAGAGGCAAACTGGGCGTTTAATGCCGTAGCTTTGGCCAAAGGGTCAGCCGCCTGCTGAGTCCCTGTTGTGAGTGACGGAATTTCCCGTGATACGTTTCGAATTCTTGCTTGTCTCACAAACTGGTGAAGCGATGGACGGTGTCTACCCTGCAAAGTAGTTTTCATTGAGCGGATATAAGCTCTGTACTTTGTCCGCGTCAGGGTTTTCACTATATTTCGCTGCTGTTGGTATGCTTGTTTGTTTTGTTGTGTTGGGTACTTCCTAAAAATGCTATAGAGATCATATTTCCACTTGATTGCTGTGCGGAGATGGGCATCAACCCAGGGTGGCTGACTGGGCCGTGGGCAGCGGTGAGAATACGGCTGCTTTCCGAATGGCCAGAGGTGCTTCTCAAGGGCACTGTTGAGAATGGAAGAAAAGTGTGAAAGCGCATCATCGACGTTGCTGGCACGCAGGTGCCAGCTCCAGTCAATATCAGAGAGCTCTGCATTCACACTATCCCAGACGGAAGATGGCACGGATTTAAAGTCATATGTGGTTTTTTAACGTGATTTTTTGGACTTTTTTGGACTTGGGGCAAAATTCTGCACACTTTCGCGTGTTTCCATAATACGACAAGTTGCGCACGGTCTGCTCACATTCAAATCCAGTGCTGCCAACAAATGACAGCATGCAACAAAAAAATCTTTCCTTGCAAGGGCACATTTTCGGCCATAACTCTTGAACGGCTGGTCAGATAGGGACACAATTTTCAGAGAATTTGCAGCTATTCATGCTCTTTTAACTGACGTAGCACTCAATATGAATTTACAAATTCGATTTTTCAGCGAATTTTTGGGTAGTCTGCCGCCTTAAGCCTGGGAAGAATGGAACAGAAGCTGTCATGCGTGGCACAAGTTAATCATCCGTTTCACGGTATATACTATATAGCTAGCTGAGCTGGAAGATGTCTTGTTCCTCCGTTTGGGCATGATCCCCATTTGGGCGAGCTGGCGAGATGTTCAGTCATCAATGCCATGTACCGCAAGACATTCTGCATTGCCATTGTGGATGAAACAGTTCTATTTTGCCATGCACTTAGGGTTCTCGCACCGGCTTAACAAGACCCAACAGATCCTTGCGCTCTTATTTTCTCCCATGGTAACATTGCTGATCACAACACCCGGTAGCCAGTCGCAGATGCAACCAAATCAACCAGGTTCTCTTACTCTTTTTTTCCTAATACTGAAACCAAAGGTATACCAATATTTGCATCGAATGCAGTGATGATTTCAATACTGTCCACTAGTACAACGCATTACCAGACTGGCATATAATCATGATAATATTATCCATTTCGCAATCACTGTCATTGCTTTCTTAGATCTTCAATCATCAATATCGGACCAAAAACCGTCTATCATCTTATATTATATCATCATTAGTATCCTGCTACTATCCTCTGACGATGAGCTCGAAGAAAAGAAACAGCGGTCTAGAGGCGTAAACAATATCTGTCAACGGAAGTGTCCTTGCTGTGCTGGTGTGTTTATGCTTCGTGCATTAGTTCGGCCAAGAGCGCATGGTGGTGGCGGGTTGAGGATGTTAAATATACTAGAAAATAGTTCACTCTGAACATGCAGGGGGGTATATTCATAGGTTCGAAAGAACCGCACACACACTTTGCTGCAGACAGCGGCAAGCTTTGGCCCTCGTGCTTCGAAGAGGGAGCAATCCACTGCGCTACGCTTGCGATTAACAGCAAGCTTCGACTTTTCAAAGGTACGACTCATCATTGGCTCTGGGGTAATGTTCCTGGAACAAATGCCCCATTGCCAACTGAGGGTCAGGGAGCACGCAATCTGCCTTCCTGGGCGAGAAGTGTTCCAGCACAAGAAGCAGCACGAATACATGCTGACAAAGACCACCGTCACCACCAGCCGGCACACAGCACACTGTTCTTCAAACACCATCCACTCCGTCCATGTGTTTGCACTGTCCTCCTCTAGCTCTTCACGCTCAACAAATACCACGCACTGCTCATCGATTTTTTTATGCTTCCTCTGGGTTGGCTAGCCCTTCGACTTGACAAAACAGCGATCACCACTGCACTGCTATCGTCACCTCATAGCAGTCGCTTCCACCAGTGGCTTTTCCTGTCTTTGCAAGGTGTCCAGGGATGGCTGCTGTTGTCACTACAGGCAAATCAGAAGTACTTTAGTGGCTGATGTCCAACCAGATCGTTGGAAAATCGATTTTTTCCACTTCAGGGCTGCTGATCGCGACTTGGTGACTTGGCAGCACCACGGTTACCTTCATAGAAGATGGCTCTGGAGAGGAAAAGACAAACCAGAAAAAGGTTACTTTTATCTTCAGCACCGATCGCAAGGAGAAAGAAATATGGTCTGCTGTAGCCTAGGCACAAAATAAATCTCACACACGATTCGCGATTCGAATATTTCAACAACAAAAAAACTCACCTCTGGAGTAACTCCTGTTTGTGGCCCGAGATCGTTCCCTCCCGCGCCTTAAAAAAATCCTGCAGCGGCATCACAGTCCATGTCTCTCTCGGAGACTCTGCTCCTACTTTGGCAAGAGTCGAGTATAGGGCTCTCTTTGCGGCCTTGATCATTACTTCGAATGCACCACCAAAGTGTGGCGCGCGAGGAGGGTTGAACCGCCATCTCACTCGGTTGTCCGCCAGGCTTCGGGCAATCTCTCGGCGGTCAAGCTGCTCAACTGCCTCTCGCAACTCACGGGCTGCTGCTGAGAAATTCGTACCGTTGTCTGTCACTATCTGCTGGGGCGTGCCCCGCCGCTTGGTGAACCGGGTCAGAGCCAAGAGGAAACCATCGGTATCCATAGAGTATACCAACTCCAGGTGGCAGGCTCTCGTTTCCAGGCAGGTAAACAGGCATAGGTAGCGCTTTGCCTGGGCTCTGCCCCGCCCTTGCTTGGTCTGAAATGGGCCCGCAAAGTCGATGCCACATGAAGTGAATACCTGCAGGGACCCAGCCGTACGGATGTCGGGTAGCTGACCCATAATCTGGGATGCTGGTGGCCTCCACTGTCGCCGGCATCGAACACAAGCTTGGCGCACAGCTTTCGTTACTGACAGACCGTTGACTATCCAGAACCTCTCGCGCAACTTGGCCAGGAGGTGCTGAGGACCAGCGGCATGCTTGCAGATTCGGTCCTGCTGCTCGACAATCAACCTAGTGACAGTGTGCTTAGCGGGCAGAATGACTGGCTGACGCAACCGATAGGGCAGATGGCTGGATGCTTTCAGTCGACCTCCCACCACCAAGAGCTGCTTCCGCGACGAGTCGAGCTCTGGTCCTAGTGCAGCAAGTGGGTCTTGCTTTTGCACTGGCTTGCCGGCTGCTAACTGATGCCTTGTGGAACCATATACATCAATCTGTGCTTGTAGTACCCAGTGGTCCTCAGCTGCCTGTAGCTCTGACGCTGCTAACTCTGGCACTGCAAGCACTGATGTGGCTGTTGTCACCTGCAACAGTGCAATGACCTCGTTGATCTCTCCGTTCTCTCCGTGGGGATGGCCTTCCCCCTTCGTGGCAACGCGGCGTCTGCAGTTGCAGATAAAGCGTTGGCACCACGCTGTTATGCGAGCCAACTGCTGCCATCTTGAATACTGCTCCGGTTGGAGTCGTTCCACCACGGCGGCACTTGTGAAACCCTTCTCAGCCATGAACGTTGATTCTCGTTGAACCTCTCCAGGGAGGTCCACTGTTTGGACAGGCTGCGGTTGTTGTGGCCAAGTGTCTGCGCTCTTGGCAAGGGACTTGGGACCATGCCACCATTCTTGATCACTAGCCAATGCCTCCGCTGCTAGCCCACGCGTACCCTTGTCGGCCGGATTCTGTTTTCCGGGAACATGTTGCCACTGGGACGGCTTGGTGGCACGTTGCAGCTCGGACACGCGGTTGCCAATGTCCACCTTGAATCGACGGCTGTGCGACCGGATCCATCCCAGAACATTCATCGAGTCGGTCCAGAAGGTGTGTTCGGAAATTGGCACATCCAACGCATCACCGACTTCGCTGCTGATCCTCAGTCCGAGCACTGCTCCACGAAGCTCCAGCTGTGGAATGGTCTGACGACGGGTCGGCGCTGTCTTGGCCTTGGCCATGGCGAGTGTCACTCGCACCGCACCCGAGCTATCTTCAGCTCGAACGTAGGTGGCTGCTGCAATAGCGCGGTCGGCGGTCGGAGGTATGGATGGATACGGATGATGCTGCTGATGCCTTGAAGCTGCGCGGCGCTGCTATCGCTGCTAGGGCTGGTAGTTCGCCAAACCACGCCTTCCACTTAGTGGCTACTGTTGACGGGAGCTCATCATCCCAAGACAGGCCGAGAAGCCACGTATCCTGCAGTAGGACGCGCGCTCGGATGATGAATGGCGAAATCTGGCCACGTGGGTCAAAAGCTGTCGCGACACCACTGAGCACGGATCGTCTAGTGAGTTTTGAAAGCTGAGGTTGTTGGAAGCGGAAGGTGAAGGTGTCCTGCTTTGCTGACCAGGTTACTCCCAGTGTCTCCGTTGTTGGCAGGGTGCAGTGCACATGGTCGCCGACGTTGACCACTGTGGACGCTGCGCGATCTGCTACCGGAACGCTTTCCACGACCTCTGCGCTATTAGACAACCACTTGCGTAAGTGGAATCCACCGTGAGCTAGGATCTCCTGACAGTGCAAGCGGCTTTTCACAGCGTCCTCGACTGTGGGCCTCGACGCAAGCAGATCATCAATGTAACGGCTGCGCTCCAGAGCTTCTATAGTGTGTGCTGGACACTCAGGGCCGAACCGACGCAACACTTCTTGGACCGCCCTGCCTGCCAGGTACGGAGAGGCCTTGATACCAAACACCACGCGCTGAAACTCATAGACGTGTGCCGGGCCGTCGTCGAACCGCCAGAGGAAACGGTGGTACTTGCGGTCAGATTTCCTGAGCATCACTTGCAAGAACATCTCCGAAATATCAGCTACGAGTGCCACCGGTTCAGAGCAGAAACGAATCAGGACCTTGACGAGGTCTGTCTGAAGTGCCGGGCCACTGTGCATCTCATCATTGATAGAGCGGCCGTCCCATTTGGCTGCGGCGTCGAAAACTATCCGCACCTTGGTCGTCTCTTTGTCATCTCGAACCACTGGGAAGTGGGGGAGAAACCATTGATTGTCACCGTCACCGTCTACCTCTTCACTGGGTACTTCGCGGATGTATCCCTTGGCGAGATGACTCTGCATAACGTCATGGTACCGTTGCCGTACACTCGGACGGCGGCTTAGCGAGTGCTCCAGGCTGCGCAGTCGCTGTGCGGCTTGCGGACGATTTGAGGAAACGTGAGGCTCCATCTCAATCCACGGAACGCCCAGCTCCACTCTGCCACTGGCAAACTGCGCCGTGGCAGTTGTACGCTCTTCGACTTGCCTATCGTCTGCTGATGGCATGCTGTCGTAACTGGGTGGCCTCGTGCCAGCTGACTCCATCTCAAGGTGATTTCTGACGAGTACCTCGAGGCTCATCTCTTCTGAGGTCGGCGTGACAACTGCTGAAAAACTGGCCGGGCTCGACTCAGCTCTCCCTGGGCTCAGACATACCAGCCTAGTGGAGTGTGCCGGGCAATTACATGGCTGGGGTGCTGTGTGGTAATCTCTTCCAGCACAGTATGAAGCTGGATTGCATTGAGGCCGATCAGCACGTCAATCTGCCCACTGCACAGAGCTGGAAATGGTATGTCCTTGAGGTCCTCCCAGGCATGCTTGGTTGTACTCCAGTCAACAGGTTTGACACTAGGGCACACCGATGGCATGGCCCAAGCACGGAACTCAGATGCCGCTGAGCCGTCAACTGCCTCAACGGAGACAGTCACATGTTTAAACACTCCGCTCACTACCTCACCACTCAAGACCGATGCGGTTAGTGGCTCACGTGGGCCGTCTGCTCCGACTGCTGAGGCAATGTGCTGCCTAACGTAGCTGGTTGAAGATGCCGGGTCTAAGAGTGCCGTCCCTCTTACACATATGTCACGGTACTTGACAAGAACCGGCGCAGTCATGAATGACAATGGTGCAGAGGTTGTTTCTTGCTGTTCTCCCGACTTCCTGTCAGCCGCTAGAGTTGTGTCAATGGTCATGGTCGTGTGTGCTGTTTCTCGTCGACCACCGTTGGCGTCCGCTGGCGACCACCTTGCCTGATCAGCTCTGCTAAACTCCCTCTTTGATCGGTCTGAGTGTAGCAGTTGATGGTGGCGCCGCTTGCATATGCTGCAGTTGGTCCTGCACTCGTTGGACCAGTGACCACGGGAGAGACAACAGCTGCACACACCTTTGTGCCCGCGCACAAAATCCCACCGCTTATCGACTGTAAGCCTCTGGAAATCAGGGCACTTCGCGAGATGGTGAGGGTCTCCACAGAGGCCGCAAGGCTCTATTGCTGCCGCCAGAGTGTGCTGCATTGACGGCATGTGTCGTCTGGGGGGGAACCGGCGGCCGAACTGATTGGCCTGTTGGCTTGCTGGAGCTGGTTGGTTCCTGAGGCGCGAGACGCTCATCTACACGCGTCATTTTGTGCACGCGTTTCATGACGAACTCTGAGAACGTCTCAGCGTCGCACCGTGTATCGTCGTACTTGTCAAAATATGCCGCCAGCACTGCCCTTGGCACCTTCTGCGTAATCGACAAATACAACTCACGGCCTGGAGTGATGTTGGCCACTTTCATGTTGAGCAACGTGTTTCGCAGTTTCACGGCAAACTGCTTCATTGTTGCCAGGTCTCTCTCGTTTGTAATTCGAGGCCATGCCATGAGCTCTCGCTCCTGTTGCTCTAGGTTGCGGTCCTTCCCACTGATGTATAATTGATTCCCCCATGCCATATTTGACCTGTAGTTCATGTACTCCCGTACTAGATTTGTACCACAGTTGTATGACCTCGCACCATAACGGCATGCTTGCTTGGCTTGGGAGATACTTCCGTGCTTCATGTGTTTTGCCTCTTCAGTTGTGTTTTCCTTCTCTTCAGATTTGTTTTATAATAAATGTCTTCTTGCTAACTGTAGACATATCATGGCGCAGTGAACTGTTCGTTCCTTGTAGAACTCACCTGTGTGTTTAGTTTCTCGTGCTTTGTGTTTGCACCTCGTTGTGTTGCGCACTGGCCGATTTTTTTTGTAGTTTGTTCGTGATACCAGCATTTGCGTAGGTTACGACCACGATGTCCGACTCAGACCCTGCTCCTGACATTGTTGCCCTGACCGCGATGTTGGCGGCACAAATGAAGTCCTCAGAGGAGAGGGAACGTAAAATGGTTGACCTGTTCCAACAAACTATACAACGACTGACACAACCAACACAACAACCCGTGCAACCCAGCACCACATCACCAGCTCCAAAGCCTGTCTCTGCGGAGCGACCGATTTTACTGTCGTCCTCGACATTAGCCGACTTCACGGCATGGCAGGAAATGTGGCGAGACTATTATGAGTGCCAGCACCTGTCAGCCCAGAGCCGTGAGACCAGAGTATCCTCGCTGCGGCAAGCTCTGGATGAGGAGCTACGCAGATTTCTCCGCGAGGGTATTATCGTGACTCCACCGAATCCCGATGCGGACGATGTGATTTCTGCAGTCAAGGAATATTTGCGACGGCAGCGCAACCCACTCCTGGATCGTATCGCATTTTACGACAGGTGTCAGTCGAAAGGCGAGTCTTTCGATTGTTTTTACACTTCGTTGAAAGAATTACACACTAGCTGTGATTTTCCGGACGTTGTTTTGTGCTCACAATGTTCAGCACACACATGTAGTACCTGTCGCACAAGCTTGACACGTGTGCGTGCTGACACCCTGCGTGACAGGATTGTCATTGGAATTGGTGACGACGCTACCCGGCACAAGCTATTGTCTGCCAAGGACTTGACCCTGAACGATGCAGTCACAATTTGCCGGGCGGAGGAAGCGGCTACCACGACGAGCAGCAGTATCCCGTCCACCAGCCAGCTCAATGCTGTGCGGCGGTCCGCGTACCAACGCAGTAAGCAACAATCCCGACAGGGACAGCCTGGCAGCAAGATGTCTGCACCTGTATTGCCATCTGCATCCGCTCCCTCTTCAGGAAGCGACACACACAAGAAGTGCCCCAATTGCGGCCGGAGCCCGCACACAAAGTCTAGTTGCCCTGCCAGTGGCAAGAAATGTAATGGCTGTGGCAAGACTGGTCACTTTCTCGCTATGTGTAGGTCGTCGTTACAATCGGACCGGAACGTGAAGCATGTGGGCCAACTGAAGTTGCAGCGTACTCGTCTTGCTGCGCAGCCTACTGTGCGTGTGTCCACCCGTTTAGCCACTGAGGATGAGGCAGTCACGCTACCCTGGGTCCCTGATACTGGCAGTGACGTCGATGCCATTGGCGAGCATCATCTCGAACTGCTTGGCGGGTTCCCCGAGAACCTCGACCATGACCCAGAGTGCGTCCTAGCGGCATCTGGAGAGCAGTTGCAGAACGTCGGCAGTATTCGTGCTTCACTTCAGGTTGGCGAAGTACAACACAGCACCGTAATCCACGTGTACAAGGGTCTGGACGATGCTCTTCTATCACGTTCGTCCTTGAGTGCACTCCAGCTCCTCCCGTCAGATTGGCCTGCACAGTACCCCGCTGCTAATGCTGCCGCGCCACCTAAGATCCGTGCTGTATCAAAGCCTGTTGTCAATCCTAGCTCTGCTGATATCGCTCGTGTTCGCGATGAGCTACTGCAGGAGTTCTCGGACGTGTTTTCCGACACTGGCTTGAAGGCGATGGCAGGTCCTCCGATGGACATCCAACTTCAGCCAGATGCTAAGCCGTCATGTGTCCATACCGCACGCCCGATTCCGTACGCGTTTCGTGACCAGGTCAAGTCACAACTGGACACAATGGTTGTCGATGGCATAATCGAGCCTGTCAGTGAGCCTAGTGAATGGTGTCACCCGATTGTGCTCGTCGACAAGAAAGGTACCACTGAGAAACGCCTCACCGTCGATTTCAAACGATTGAATGACCAAGTCCTGAGACCAGCCCACCCTGTTCGCACCGCTCGCGATGTGGTTTCTGGTATTGGATCGGCACAGTTCCTCACCAAGCTTGATGCAAGGCACGGATACTGGCAAATCCCACTGAGTGAGCAGGCATGTCCAATGACCACATTCATCACCCCATACGGCAGGTATCGTTTCCTACGCAACCCTCAAGGCCTGATTTCCGCCGGGGATGTTTTCAACTGCCGCACTGATGCTGCGTTCGATGCAATCCCGAATTTCGCCAAGGTTGTAGATGATTGCCTGGCCTATGATGACGACTTTGCCTCCCATGTCACCCATGTTCGTGACATCCTGCTGTGTGCTCGACAGCATGGCATTACTCTGAGCCCGTCCAAATTCACCTTTGCGTCACGTCACATCCATTTCTGCGGCTACATTGTCAGTCCAGACGGCTGGGTTGTTGACGATGACAAGGCAGCGGCTATTCGCGATTTTTGACATTCCTGCGAACCGCACTGATTTGCGTTCGTTTCTTGGCCTGGTGAACCAGTGTAGCGAGTTCTCACCACACCTCGCCGCCTGCACTACTCCGCTTCGTGGTCTGTTGAAGACGACCCGTGAATTTGTCTGGGATGCCAACCACACTGTTGCGTTCGAGAAGACCAAGTCTACTCTGCTGTCCCCTCCTATCCTGGCCTTCTACCAGCATGGACACGACCTCCGTCTGGAGACTGATGCCTCTGCACTACGTGGTCTCGGCTTCGTTCTGTGGCAGAAGCAGGATGATAAGTGGCGAATCATCCAGTGTGGCTCCCGCTACCTCTCTGACGCTGAATCTCGCTATGCTGTTGTTGAGCTCGAGATGCTCGCAGTCGTTTGGGCTGTGCACAAGTGCAAGTTGTACTTATCCGGCACCCTATTTGATCTGATCACTGATCACCGTCCGTTGATCCCGATTATCAACGCGTATTCTCTAGATCAGATCGAGAATCCTCGCCTTCTTCGTCTTCGCCTGAAGCTGCAGTCGTTTCAAGTGCACGCTTCCTGGCGAAAAGGCTCTGATCACGCGTTTGCTGATGCGCTGTCTCGCAATCCCGTCGGCATCCCGTCTTCAGATGATGAACTCGGCGAAGCCCCTGCTCTTCATTGCCGCAGCATCCGTGTGTGCATGCTCCGTGACGATGGTCCTCACCCCAACCTGAAGTTTGCTGAACTTCGAGCAGCCGCCTCAGCTGATCCAGTCTATCAGTCTCTTGTCCAGTGCGTTCTGCATGGTTTTCCCGCTCGTCAGCGTGATTTGGATGCTCCACTACAACCCTTCTGGAATGGACGTGAACACCTGTCAGTGGACCAGGGCATCGTCATGAAAGGCCAACGCATTCTCGTTCCCTTGGCCATGCGTCAACGTGTTCTCGCTAACCTTCATGCCTCGCATCAAGGTCTCGTCCGCACTAAGGCTCGCGCCCGACAGCTCGTGTACTGGCCTGGTCTCACCGCCGACATAGACACCCTTCTCCGTACCTGTTCCGCGTGTCGAGAATTCCAGTCGTCGCAGTCAGCCGAACCACCGATGAATGACCGTCATCCTACTCTGCCGTTCGAGTTTGTATCCGCTGATCTGTTCTCTTGCCAAGGCTATGAGTTTCTTGTTTATGTCGACCGTCTGACTGGTTGGCCGTGTGTTGTTCGAACCGGCAGGACCACGTCATCACACGATGTCATTCTCGCTTGTCGTCGTTGGTTTGCCGATCTGGGTGTGCCTGCTGTACTGTGCACCGACGGTGGCCCCCAGTTTGCATCGAAGAAGTTTGCCGACTTCTGTAGCCGTTGGCAAGTGCAACGCGTATCCTCTTCCCCGCATTATCCCCAGAGTAATGGACATGCGGAAGCCGCAGTGAAAGCTATGAAGCGCTTGCTGCTCAAGACCTCGTCAAATGGCAATCTCGACACAGATGCATTTCGTCGTGGTCTACTGGAGTGGCGGAATACGCCCGGTCCGTCTGGCAAGAGCCCAGCTGAGCATCTTCTCGGGCATCCACTTCGGTCTTTCGTCATTGCTGAGTGGACGCAGTTTGATTCCTCGTGGTCGACCGTCGCTAGTGAGCGTGAAGAACAGTCACCACCCTCGACACCTGTTTCAGCCAGTACTCCCACCCACCGCTCTCTTCCCGTTCTCCGTATCGGCACTCCTGTGGACGTCCAGGATCCGAAGACGAAGCGTTGGACAACCCGTGGCGTGATTGTGGCCATTGGGCAGCACCGTGACTATTTCGTCAAGTTGGCTAGTGGTCGAGTTTATTGGAGAAATCGCCGTTTTCTTCGTCCGTTCTCTCCACCCGTGCCGTCACCAGCACCATGTGTTTCACCACAGCCGTCTGTTGCCGTTGCTCCTGCTACGCCTCCTCCTCTGCGTCGCAGCACACGAGCACACCAGCCACCCTCTCGTTTGAACATTTCCTCCACCCGTGGACAGTCTTATGCATCTTGATTTGTTCTGGACACATCGTGTACATGTTCTTGTGGATTGTTCTCATATCGTATCTTTCTGTATCCTTGTGTGGCATGCTATGTCTGTTCCGCCGTGTGCTATAGGCCGTTGCTTGCCATACTTATTTGTTTGTTTGTTTGGATTTGATAGATAATACTGGATTTGTTTTCTCAGCATTATCTCGAAGGGGCGTGATGTATAATGGATTCCCCCATGCCATATTTGACCTGTAGTTCATGTACTCCCGTACTAGATTTGTACCACAGTTGTATGACCTCGCACCATAACGGCATGCTTGCTTGGCTTGGGAGATACTTCCGTGCTTCATGTGTTTTGCCTCTTCAGTTGTGTTTTCCTTCTCTTCAGATTTGTTTTATAATAAATGTCTTCTTGCTAACTGTAGACATATCACCCACCAAACCATCGATCCAGCTCCTCCATGATGGCAGTGTAGGCGCCTGGACCATCCAGCACGTCTGCAATTAGGTCTGCTGCAGAACCGCCGGCTAATGCCTCCCGAAGGTGAGCCAGCTTGTAGTCCTCAGACATGAGCGGGTTCTCATGGACCAAGTGGAGGAATCGCTGTTTCCACTTTAGGTACGACGGTCTCTGACCGTCAAACTTCGGCAAGTCGAGCGGCTTCAGGGACCTGCCCAGGCAAAGCTGGTAGAACGCATCCGGCCAGTTCGTGCCGCCACCAGGTAACATATTCGCTTGCTGTGGTGCAGGTGCCAACGGCACAAACTCTGCTGCAGCATGGCTCAATGCACTCTTGTCAGCTGTTTGCTTGGCACTCTTCCTTACTCTTGGTGCTGGCACTGGTCTGTCATTGCTGGGCTGGGCCTGTGCAGAGGTGGCTGTGGGAGTAGGCTGGTTGCTCGCAGCAGGTGAGTTGTAACGCAATAGGCTAGCTCTGTGCCTATGGGCTGGTCTTTGGTTCATACTACTATGTGCTGTTGTCACATGGCTAGTACCACTGCTTGCTGCTACATGTACACTCTGGCTAGTAGTAGTACTAGTAGCTGCCAAACAGGGCTGGACTGTCCCACTAGCACTCACACCAGTCAGACTCAGAGGCTGCACTTGAGTGTTCTGCTGCAACACTGACCTGTCACTTGCATTCACTCTGGAGTCAGGAGCGCGTGTGCTGAAAACACCAGAAACCGTGACTGATGCGTCTGCGTCGCTCCTGTACTGTCTGGCCCTGCTCCTCGTTGGTGGCAGGATCTCTCCGTCGGATCGAACCGTGCTCAGGGCGCTGTTCGGGGAACGGATCCGTGCCGATGCCAAAGGTCTACGACTCCGGACCCCAGGCAAACTGCCACCAAGCCCAGTCGCCTCACCGCCACTGAACTCGTCGGAGGAGGACTGCTCTCCATCCGCCGACTGAGCATGGATCTCCGCGTTGCCAGATGCAGAAACTGCAAATTCTACGTGCGGTTCCTCATACTCAGTACTAGTAGCGCCGGTCAAACTTTCACGTTGTTCTGCTGCCCTGGCTCGCTCCACGGCTAGCCTCTTGTTGGCAAGCTCGATCTCAAGGGCCAGTTCCTGGCGTTTCAACTCCGCGATCCGTTCAGCTGCTTCCAGCTCCATCTCTTGTTCTCGTCGTTCGATCGCGGCCCTCCTGCAGCTCTCTAGGCTGCTGTGATCGTACTCGCTGGCCGACTGTGCGGGCGTCTTCGCCTTGCGTCGGCTCCGAACAGATTCCTGGTCGGAGAGGAATCTGGACGGCCTTTGTCCAAAATTCCGTCTGGCGCTCCGTCTTGGAGCCTCTTCTGCCATCGTGCCCTACTCTGGCACGTTCACGGAATCACTACGGATCTCGCTCTTCGGATCCGGCTCGAAGGACCAGTTTATGTTCTGTCGCGCACACACATTGGTGCAGAAGACTGTATCATTGTTCACAAGACTGTTGTTATTCTTCAAGACTGAGTAGCACCGACTCTTCTTGTTCCAAGTACTACTAAAGAAAAACTCTCTCAATGCATTACAGCGCAGCCAAACAAAAGGTACCGCAAAAACCTTATGCCGCACGCACAAGAACACAACAACCAAAAAAGCTACACGGTGCAAAGCTGGCTCAGCGAAACTGACTCGAGCGGAACCTAAATCGGAGCTCGCCGCCCAAATACATTATTACATGAGGCATCGAGGTGCAACCAAGCTGAGCGCATACATGGATAGCGATACTACCAAGAGCTAAGGTCAACACAGAGAACAGGCAGTATGACCGCAATGGCCTCGATCACAGCTAGAGGACGAGAAAGCAGACCGCAACTGAACAGGTGTCAACGCATCACACGTTTTTCTTTGCAATAATTTGTGCAGGATCGATCAGCTTCGGTCAACCACAGGTTCCGGATTCGTCTGATAATCCGTGTCAGTGTGCATTGCATCATCAAAATGACGTCAACTTGAAATTCTGTCGGGACAGCACCCATAGTGGAGTTGCACACTCTGGGGGGTTATGCTTATGTACTCTCGCCGTCACTGATTGTAGTGGACTGGACATGTTCTCAAGGGAGTCGTAAACCTACGACTTCCTGGTGCATCTACTTGTACTAAGGTCTTGTACTTGTAGAACATGTACCACTGTATGGAATTTGATGCGAACAGGCGGATTATTGCAATTTTATGCGATTCGTATGCAATTTGCGTCGAATTATGCGATTACTAGTATTCGATTTTGGTAGGAATTCTGCGAAAAATTATGCTAGCATAATCTGTCAAGGCCTAACATATATGTGTATCCTTTTTCGGTCCGGTTTTCAGAAGAGCCTTCAAAAATAGGACACTGTCGGAGTGTCCGAAAAATCGGACGGTTTGGCAGCACTGCCTTCGTGTCGAATGGCAGCGCGGCAGGTGCAGCGCACTCGTCAGTTGCAGCTCTCGGCTGCATAACTGGGGCCGGGTTGCATTTGGGCCCACTACATTATGAAGTCACAGGCTTTTTGTACAGTCATGTACTTTCATACACCTGTAGACACGACAGGTTCGCTTGACACTAGAAAAGCGATCCTGTCAGCTTTTCTATTATTGTGTTCACATGGCAGAAAAAACGACATCGCTATGCTACGTAAGTTTCTACGTAAGGTGCTCAGTATTAATTTTCACTTAGGCTACTAGTTTCTACGTAAGGTGCTCGGTATATATTAGATCTACCAACATGTGGTAGCCGGCGCGTGCTGTGCACGTGCACGGCAGACATTGTGTTGCATGTGCAGTCCGTTTCGGATGTGCATGCGCGCGCGAGGAACTTCCTTCTTTGGAACTGCTTCTTGCATGAGCTGTTTCGGATATTTCGTGTCCTGGTTTATTTTGCTTCGGCTCTGCTGAGACCTCCTTTCACGGAATATTACTCAATGACAGGTGAGTTGACCCCTTTGATTCATTTGCTTGTGTTGACTCTTTCATTTACGAAAAGTGTACTGATTTTAGGTGGAATACAACAAATAATGGAAAACTGACAAGATCTCTTTTCTAAATTTAGCTTTTCTGCTGTCGAAGCCTCCTTGTACGGAATACTCAATGACAGGTGATCTCTGAGTTGACCAGTTTCCTTCGATTCATTTGCTTATTATTATTATTATTATTATTTGTTTTACATCGGAAGCTCAACAGTGCAGCTGCACACATATGAATTATGCTCACCCTTTCATTTACGGAAACGTGTGCTGATTTTATTCGGATTTAGATCCATTCGTATCTCTTTGCCCTTGCCAACAGTGTGCGAAGAACACGAGTTCACCTTCCTGACGGTAAGGTTATGTTGCTGCTGAGGCTTAGATGTGTTGTCGAAATACTCATGAATACTCATGTTCATTGTACATTGGTACGTTACAAGTAAGGCACTGGTCAGGGTAGAATCTGAATTTTCCAGTTGGCAGTTCCCAATCTGGAGGGAAAGGTTCAAGGACGCATTGACCGAGTATGCAAAATAAATTCGCATATCAGGGAAAATCTCCATTATGGAGAGGTTCATGCATTCAGTGACTTGTTTGCTTCATACGAAACAAGCCAATGGGTGCAATCTCGTCACGTGGAAATCTCGTACGATTGGATTTGTTTACTCGAGTCTGGGCTGTTTGATTTGTGAGTAGCGCCGAAATTGCACTGCCCCAAATAAAGTTGTGTGCCGGCAGAGCAAGAATTACGATCTGCAATCTGTTTGTAGTACCTGCAAAAATGTGCTGTACATGTATCGTATTTTCTCTGTTGTTGTTTCAGTTGCCATCATGTTGCTAAAGAAAGGTTCAGTGACTCATTTGTTTCATACAAGACGAGTCAATGGTTTGGTCTGGCTTAGAATCTTTCGCTGTAGAAGAAATCTATTCGTGTCTCTATTGGAGAAATAATTGTATTCACTCGTTATAAAATACCATCGGTCCCTTGGTGTTCGTCCTAAAGTAAAGAGGTTTGGCTGGATATCATTCATACTCCCCCAAAGTCGTGTAACATTTTATTATTATGGAGTGCCTTGTTTATCTCTCAGTACCTCCAACCATAATCCTTGCCCCTTATATCCTCAGGATCAGTGTAAATGTTGGAACGAGGTGTCGGACTCAACAATGTATTTAATACATGTTTCTTGTTCCTCCTTTGCTGTGTTGTTTTAGGCAATCGTGGACTTGTAACACTTTGAAGTCGTTGAACTACTTCCAAAAGCTTTATCGACATCAATATGATTACGATTTCAGTACAATATGATGCCGGGTGACCTTATCCCGACATCCGATGACTACAATTATAAACACAGAATCAACAAAAACATCTGCGGCACGCACCTGGCTACAATTCTCAAGTAAATGTGATTTAGGGTGTGGACATCTGAATTTTCTGAAAGACAAGACAATTCCATTTCAGAGTCACGAAATTCTGCAACAGCAACATCCACAGAATGACCTGCGTATAAAAAAAGTATCACCGCCACTACCCATATGATTCCCCTGCAGAAGAACATGACAATGCAAGACTACAATAGTGCAATTTTCTGCAAGAAAAGGCTTGCACATCAATGCGTGTAATACGGTATTGAATTTGATATGATACACATGTAGAGGGGCTACATCAGGGAGTCGTCAAATGCCGGTATTTGACGACTCCCTGGGCTACATGTAGGCCATCATTTAGGGCATTCCATTGGTGACACAATTATTATAATAATATCTTTAGCTAAAAAACAAAAGAAATTATAGCAATAGAGAGGTTCTGCACAACGAAAATTCGAACGAAGTTTCGCGACAGGCCTTGCGAAAATGTGTACGAATTTTCGCACGAACTTTGTGTTCTGCACATTTTCGTAGTTTGCATGCGCCAAGTGCACGTACGCCATGATCCGATCTCACGAAACTTCCTACGAAAGTTCATTTCGCGTTCCCTGCAAGTTTCGCGTCCAAAGTTGCGAAAGTTCGTGCGAAGTTTCTCACTTTGTGACGTAGAGCGAAAGTTCGTACACATTTTCGTTTTGCAGAACCTCTCTAATAAAAACTGCTTTATGGCAGTTTTCTAAAAAAAGTTATTGTGTTCTAGTCCATGGACCCCGTCTAGAAAGTAAGAAATTAACGAAATGTGATAGCCGAAAATTAAAATTTCACACAAAACCTCACAGTAATCACAACACTTGAGGATCTTAGTTTAAAAAAAATACTGCTTTCAACACTTGTTTAGTCTGATCAAGAGTCCATCTTGGTCTGACACTTCATGGGTGACTTGTACGAGTACTGCGCCAACATGCATGAATAGGAAGGAGGACCACGAGGGGTAAAGGTCTTCTCGCTTTTCATCCTGTGTGTGATTATTGTGAGGTTTCAAGTGTGAGAAATTTTAATTTTCGGCTATCACATTTCGTTAATTTCTTACTTTCTAGATGGGGTCCATGGACTAGAACACAATAACTTTTTTTTAGAAAACTGCCATAAAGCAGTTTTTATTGCTATAATGTAGACAGTGCTGCGCAGAGGAGGAGGCTGTTTTGCAGCGCATGACGACTGGTTTGGCGACACTACTACTTGTAATACAATTACAAATAGTCGCAGGGCATCAAGGATTCCCCAAGACCTTTCGTCTATCGAGGGGGTTTCCAAACTTTCCATAATACCAGATCTGTAAAAGAAGTGATGAGCAAGAGGTGGGCAAAGAAGGAGATAAAGACATAGTCTAGGGCAGAGCTTTGCACTTGAAGATAATGATTGTAAGCGTGATCACTCGCCTATAAGTAGACCTGGCAACCTAGTCGTCAGCGCAGATTCGCCACCGCGCACCACCAGAAGCAGCAGCTACCAATATCCAAGACCGCCTACCGCAGCCGCAACAGCGAGCAATTATATTATGTCCTTGGCACGCGAGAAGGGTGTGTCCAGTATTCTGGCCACCGTTCCTATAGGCCTATGGCTGAACACGTACACGTACATGTTACGTGCAGGGACTAATTTACTTCAAAAAAATTGCATAGCAATAATTGCTACACACCTCGATGTTTGCATAGCAACGCAACAATTTTGCATAGCAGTTTTTTTCCGTCGACAATGCAGTCTTCAGTGCACTTCCACTTATACCGTCAACAAACGCCATGCTGCCTCAAACCACGAAGCGAGGACGCCTTCTCCCTGCACATCTTGCAAAATATCTTGGTCACAGCTCCACCACTCGACTCTGCGCGAATCCATTCTTTTTTGGGATCAAATTCAGCAATCCACTTGTCCACAGTACCTTGCTTCACAGACATGCCGGCAGTGAAGAGGCTTCATCAATAAGGCTAGCAGAATTTTACAAAGATAAGTCCT